CAGATTCATTAAAAGAAATTTCGTGGCGGCATGTGTTACGAAAGTACTGGCTACAGGTGTGAAGATAATTCAAAATATAAAAACGGCTTGACGACACGAGATGGTGGATCTGGTGGTGGGGACTTATGGAAACCACCCACATTTGGGGTCATTAGACTCAATATGTGCCCCTCACACTCCCATACCTTAGATTCAGGGCAACTACCCCCCCCTGACCCCCTAAGTGTAAACCCAAGCTCCTACTGGTGCACAGATGTAAAACAAAGTCATCGTCTTCGAGGATTTGTAAAATACCTTAAGCTAGGAAGTTAGAAATGTACTACATAAAACTTCAGAGGTATCCTACAAGTAGAGTATAGAACTATGTAGCCCCTTACCCCTCGCGTCCTGTTTAGAAACTCTAGTCTTCAACACTGCTCCCCAAAATTCTAAGACAACTTACTTCACCTCTCATGCTAATATGTTTATCTTTCTTACCCGATGTGCAGATTATGATGGTGGATCATACCAACACACTGAGCACCGAGGTACACTTCGAACCTCTATTCAACAAGCGCGAACTATCATCTGTTACCACCTATATATGCAAAATCACCGAGAGCTAGACAATTCATCCCGGACTACAACTTCTCCTAAATTCGTAGCTCCAATTGGAAATGCAACTAGAGATGTCGGTAACAGATGCCGTTTGTATCCAGACATGCAAGTTCTTTCAATCCTGACAACCACCCACCTGGAAGCGGAGCTAACCAAACGTCGCCTCATATCCAACATTCGGTATCCAGTACTGATAGTGCGAGCGCAGAAAACTGATAGTTTTAGATCTCTCACGTCTAGTTCTTAGGGCTTGGTTCAAGTTGATCGGTTCACTCCTGCGGTAGACAGGAAAATCCCCTTTTGCTTTCTTGTTTTCGGCCTCGGTGAGGTTGATGTTCTGTCGGTTGGAGTGGTTGGTGAGCTAAGGGCTTCTGGGAAGGTTGGTGGCTTGCCGTGACCTCTGTCTGTGTAGGTAACCATTAGAGAACAGTAAGGTAGTGGTAAAAAAGTGAAAAGAATGAAGAAAAAATAAAACAAGGGAGGAGAAAAAGGAAAAGAAAGAAGGAGGTGGAGAAAAAGAAGGTGTAAAGAAGATAGATAAAGGAGGGAGAAAAGTATGTGGGAGTTGCTCGAGAGGTAAAACTAGATGGCGTGGATCTAGTTCCTGCAAAGATTTGGTAGGTAATGTGGGTGTATTAAAGAACGAGAAAATGAGTGGTAAATCGGGGGGAGGTGTGGATGGGTTAGCGAGGCTGAAGACTTCCCAAGTACTTCCGTGTTGGACCGTGTGAGGTAACATAACTGTCTAATCGTCTCTAAAATGAGTCCTGTCAGGGGGCTATAACGGTTGTCGCGGTAATGCATTGCATAAGGCGCATACTCTCGGGGGGGGGGGGGTTGGAGCTGAGTATGGTGTTGGCTCTCCGATGTGCTATCTTAATGGGGTTTCATCGCGGAGAGCCCTGTGTTGCAGGTGAAATTGATTTGTTTGCGTGGTCTGCCTGATGGGAAATTTCTTCCTGTGATAACCCGAGGTAAATAGGCTTAGGTGCTTAGGCTTTTCAGGATACGTCCTTCCCTTATAGCCCCGCAACTGATTCGGCTGCGGTTCTCTGTGCATTATCAGGGAGATTGGAGTCTCTCTTGAGTGTTGGGGGGGCCACCATGTTGAAGACCTCTAGGTGAGGCCACACGTAAGACTTGAAAACAGTGGGGACGAGTTCGCGCATGGGGGCTCCAAGCTGTCTACACGGAAAGTGCAGAATGGCGTTCTCTGTGGTTGCCATACCTTTGTAGTTGGGGCTGGCGTCCAAGGTGTCGGAGAAGTGGGGCTCCAAAACTTTCCCACGGACACTGGTGATAGCACGGTCGCTCAACATGTACTGGAAGTCGGTTGAACTTGCTTCATATCTACTGATGTACATTACATTGCACTTTTCCAGGTTGAACCTCGCGCCATTTTCCAAAGACCAGAGTTCGAGTTGCCGCAAGTCATTCCGCATTGCTGTACAGTCAGCTTTTTCGTTTGCCATCCTCCAAATTGTAACGTCGTCAGCAATTCGTCGACCTTGAAGTCTCATTGAATGGTTTGATGGTAGAAACTCATACTTTCCCCACCATCTGCAAAAACGGCATGCGTTCGTATAATTTATCGTTCGAGATATATTATAATTATAAGCCGAAGAGTGCAAGTTCGGCTGCTGATATCCCAAAGAAAGTGGGACACGCCGCGCCACGGGGACCTGACGAAAATGTATCATGCCTTGTCCACGATCTGACGAACGATGACGAGGCCGTGCAACCGGAGACAGCCAGCATCTTCGCATTCTACGGCAATGCTAACTACGAGACCACTGCAGATCACCTTATGGATGTGTCATGGCCTGTAGATAGAAGTCCTCTCATGGTAAATGGATACGGGCAATGGAAATAACCGCTGAGGCCGTCAACCACAGTGTCGGAGATAACATAGACCGTCAGCGAGAACCTCATGGCTAAAGCGTGGGACAGAAAGGTTACTTTAGATCAAGAGGCAGACTTGGTGCGATTAGCCTTTATCACGCTGATAGTCTGACTTTTTGAACTATAAAAGAATTCGCAACCGCTGCAACATAAGAGTGTGTAGCAACATGATTGGCTATTAAAAAACCTGGTGGGGAGGTTGCAAAGCGTCCTCATAAACCCGTACCACTTCATCTCGAAAAAGAATTCCACCAGCATCGAAGTGAATCTCGTCACAGGTCCTGATGAAAATGTTCTAAGCAGTCTAGAGGCAGCTGCTGAACAGCTGAGCTTCTGAGCTGTCACTTCCAAGCTCAACTTAGTACTGACTTCGAATCTACACCGATTCGTTACAACATTGACCAGACCATGAATAACGAATACTTCTGTCACATCCTAATCACGGAGAAAAGTGTCGGCTTCGTCAAAGCGAGTCCCTTGGCTGCGATAAACAAAAACCGGTAATCCCAAAACAACATGCCGAGGTGCTTGTGAAACTGTCTGCAAGCTCATCGACTACTCAACAGGGTCATGCAAGCTTTGTATGGGATGGAAGTGCTCCGTCTTGTCACTCATCCTCAAGGGAGGAGACAGAAAAAGCACTGACAGCTACAGACCGACTGCCCTACTCCCTGTACCATAGAAAGTAGCGGGAAACCTGGTGGCCAATGGAATATAGGAAACCCTTGACAGGAAAAACACCATCCATGCTGCTTAGCATGGCTTTCGGAGTTGTTATTCATGCGTCACCAACTCGCTCACTGCCCAGGACGATTGGACGCTTAGCTGGGACAACAGAAAACCGATACATGTTGTTTCTCTCTACCTAGCCAAAGCATTTGACAAAGTTTCTGCCCATAGTCCTGCCTCACAGGATCATGCCAACCAGTATAAGTGAACCCCAACTCTCTCTGTTCAAAAAGTACATAGAAGGTAGGCAGTTCTGTATCAAAGTTAACGGAACACAGTCGAAGAGGAGACCATCGACGTTAGGTGTGTCCCAAAGAGAAATCCTTGGACCACTTCCGTTCCTCCTGTTTGTCAGTGATCTGCCAGACAAAATCTTCTTAGCCATCCTCCTTTTGCTGATGGTATTAACATTTGGATGGGAAGTAAACGAGAGGGCTGACTGCACAATACTACTAAGTGTTCTGCAACAATTCTGATCCTGATCGTGGGAAAATGGCTTGAGGTTCAACCTGGAAAAGTGCGAAATAATGCGCTTCAGTACTTGTAAAGCAACAGCGGCCGACTTCCAACACATGTTGAGCGACCGTGCTATCGCCGGTGTATCCACGACAAAAAATTTGGGGTTCAACATCCCCAATGCCTTGGACGCCGACTCCAACTACAAAGACATGGCAGCCATGGTGAACGCCACTTTGCACTTTCTCCGTAGACAGCTTGTTGTTCTCAGCCCTGAATTGTTTCTCACATTTTTGCAGATCCTTCGCAAGTCAGCATATAGAGGTTTTCAATACGATGGCCCCCCCAAAACCCAAGAGAGAATCTAATCTCCTTAGAAAAATACAAAGAACTGCAACAAAATCAGTTGTGGAACTGTACAGGAAGGAATGCATTGAGAGATTAAAACACCTAGACCTGTTCTCCTTGGACTATCGCAGAAGGATAGGCCATTGTCATTGTCTACACGGCCATCCATCAAGCAAATCCCGCAAGTAAGCCGGCTTTGCCTGCAAGACAGCGGTCATCAATAATAAACCGCATTAGGATAGCACATCAGAGATCTAACACAACGCTCAGGTTCAACTTTTTTCCTTGACAGTATGTGCTTTATTGACTGCAAGATGTAGTCACAGCCCCCTCGATACACTCATCCAAAAGACGGTTAGAGGGTCACTTAATTTCTCATGGTTTATCACGGACATACTCAGTGAGTTATTCACTTCAACGGCTCACTTTCACCTCCTTTATGTCTACCATTCGCAACCTCTCGTCCTGATACACCTTAACTATCTGGTAACTCTTCTTTAGCAACTAGACCAATGCTATCTAATTTTACCCTTCGGGCGATTCCCACATCCTTTTCTCACCACTTACTGTTCCTAGTCAAGCATCTACACAGACTGAAGTCACGAAAGACCCTATTCCTCCTGGCAACACACAGCTCCGTAAAAACCCTACAAATTGAAACTTGCGGACCCACAAAACATCCACCTCGACGAAGCTAAAGGACAGTAGAAAGGATTCCTTTGCCCACCTCAGGAGCAAACAGAACAACTCGAACCAGGCTGCAGAACTAGATGTGAGAGATAAAAAAATATCAGTTTTCTACACTTGTACCATCAATTTTGGGTTCGGAAAATTGTCTTGGTTAAAACAACCACAGTAATATCTCACTTTCTGACTTTAATATGTCGGAAAAGAACCTATAAAGTGTCCAGTTTCCGTTATGTTTGTTTTAAGGAAGAAATTGTTTTATTGCACCACTGGGTGAGATTACATATGGCCGTATTGTTTCGTTTGTCGATGATGATGTTTTCTGTGGTTTTGTTATATCTCTGCACCGTGGTCACGGCAGATGATCTGTCCGCACCGAAGAATTGCAAAGAGATTTGTATCACGATGTTTGATGTGAGTCATTTGCATACCGCAGCCTGAAACATTGGGTTGGTATGAAGAGACAATTCAGTGGGTTTTTTTCCCAAAGGCTTAATTGAAAGCGAAAAGGAGGTAAGCTAGATTTTCAGTAAAAGAGAGAACTCTGTGGATCGAATGACTTAAAGGAGGCAACAGGATTGATAGACAAAAACAAGTTGAAGATAGGTAAAAGTGAAATTTGTAGGTATATTTCCTCCTTCTCCCTATTATTGATTGGCTCAAGTTCACAGGGGTTTTTCTTTCGTTTTATAATAACTGGCGTCCAGTGCAAAGTCTAGAATCGACGTAAAGCACACGTGGTTTTGCGGTTATTTTTCAATGATTGAGTAGGCTAACTGCATCCACGTAGTCTGATGATGTACGTGAGAGGCCTGGTTAAAATGTGTTGTATAAGTACTTTTGACTGTAACGGGGTGTGTGTTAAATGCTAAGTTACACCTCGACTTCACCCACTCATCCACAGTTCTGTTTCATGTTTTCAATGACAGTTATCCCTCTCCAATGTAATTTTTCCTTTTTACTCCTGCATGTCCCTTACTCTTATGTATTCGGATATTAAATCGTGTCAAAGTTTATGCAACAGATCCATGTCAAGCCGTATCATCTAGAACTTCCAACTGTTAGTTAAGTCTCGGTGACCTATTTGAGTAACCTGCTTGACTAATGCCAGTAGCTACTGGTTGCTGGGATGTTTTAACTTGGTCACTCATTTCTAATCTAGCTACGTTTTAAACCTCAGTTGTAGGTATCTTGTACTCGCGAACTAACAAGGTAACCTGTTTCCTAAAACTGCAGACCTCAGCTCATTGTGGTACTGTTTGCATGTCTTGTTGGTATTCGCAAAGACTAGCAGTATCTTCTTCATTCAAATTGGTAGTGTTGGTTCCAGACTCATGGAGAAAACACTATCTTGAAGGATGATTACAAGGAACTAATAAGACAGTAAGCACGAATGGTTCAGGAAGCATGTATTATGTATGATAAAAGGCAGCGAACCTCCAATTCATTTCTTTTTCGTTTGTTTCCCATTCCCATTTAATCATGAGTTTCAACTTTCGTTTAATCTTGTTTCATGGAAAATACTCAGATGCTAATAATTGTTTACAGGGGTCTGAAGAAGATGCTTGTTCCCGAGGCTGTGAATTCACTGGTATGTACTTACCAACAGCACCTACTTGTGAAGAATCTTGTGCTGATACATACAAGCTGGATGCAAAACTAGTGGCTGCTTGCAAAGTAGGCTGTGAAACAAGTCTTGGTCGCTCGTCCATTACATTTAGACTTCTACCGATCCAAAGGTAGTTTTGGAGTTTTTAAAAAATCGTAATCGGTCATTTTAGCTTCTTCGGGACTTTCCTCGATAGAATTCGTCAGTTATTTGGTGTAAATGATGGTGAGCACTTTAATTCATTTAGTAACTATGCAATATTTACACAATATTGTATCATATTTTGACCGATATAGAAAGGTTCCCTACCCTAAGGTTGAATTATCCTAACCTAAATTGTATATCACTATACTGTCTGTTTCAACAAGCCATTTAACAAAATGTATAACTTCCTATGAAAATACCATGTTTTATCAAGGTGATTGTGTACTTAGTCCCAGTGACCAAACTTAAATCACGCAAAACGAAAGCAGGTAATTCTTTACGGAATCATTCTTTTTTAAGAAGTATGCTCTAGATTCATTATTTCAATGAAACAACTTCAAAATATTTCAGCCAGATGAAATTCTGTATAGTTCTAGTCAAATGTCTACCGGCAAGAAACTTCGCGTCTGTTATTGTGTGCATTTGTAATTCATAAGTACCATTCTTTTCCCCCTATGAATATAGCATTACCTCATTCTTACTGGTGTCATGCTTTAAAGACGAAAATTACCAAAATACCGTTGATTTCTCTCGTTTAGGAACACTTGTGGGTGGCTTCATGTAACAATGTTTTGGGGTCATGGTTTTTTTCTTTTTGAAAAGCTTATATATTTTTGGAGTGGTTTATGCAGATGAGGAGATACCTTTGCTTAGTCAGTCCACATAGTTGCATCGAGGCTGAGCTGACTTGCTTCACACTTATGTTGGTGTCTTTCCTTCTGTTTCCACGCACTTAGCTCGTAAAGGTATGCGGATGTTTTATTAGTCCGCATTGAGTCTATAAATCCGTTACTATAGGTTTGTGACAGTTGCTAATTGCACAATCCTGAATGTACAAACAATATAGATGTTAGCTATTGCATCTAAGTGTACTGGTTGAGACCTACGCCCCGCAACCGGAGAATTAGCGGAAAGGGAAGATATTAAAGTAGGCGAAAATCCCCCAGGTTAATAAAGAGTACTGAAATGTCTAAAATTTCAGGGCAGACATAAGCGTCTACACAAATGAAACATGCAAGCGGAGACGTCAACATTGAAAGACCTTAGTCAGGGAGTATCCGTCACTGAGACAAGCAAGAAAACAACTTAAAGCCAAAAAATAAATACAATTCGTGCTAACAATCTGGTCAATTTCATTAGTGCGAATTTTTGGTTGGCGAAAGTACAAAACTATGAGATTCCTGTTGTCACAGATTTTCGTTATGACCATGCAAAGTCAAATGCGATATATGTCTGTCTTGCACCCAAAGTTCTTGGTTATTCAAACTAAGAAATATGAAGTTGTGCTAGTCATACTGGGGAAGTTTTGGGAAAATAACCGTTTTGAGGGTAGGTTGAATAAATCTTCCTTTACTAGTGTTTACCGTATCAAAAAAGTATGAATCGGTGCTCTAAAGTGCTGTGTATTTTGAGTCGCTGTGTATAAACAGAAACAGCACAACTCAAAAATATGCATGAGACATGAAGATATTTGGATTGAGTACCTTATGATTGTAAAGATGAAAATCATGTGCACTCCATAAGGCATTGGAACATTCCTAATGCTTTAGTCGTGAAAATTCAGATGTTGTTAGAAATATTTATCAACTTTCAGCAGCATCCTTTTTTCTCACTGTTAGTCAAAAACATTCAGTTGCACCGAATGTTCAATTTCGAATATCTTGACCATATGTTACCACTGTTTTCCTCTCAGCTTAATAAAAGTGGTGTTTTGTCATATTTTTAGGTCCGGAAGTCAGTCTGGATAGCAAAGCTAGTAACGTGAACAGCAATACAGGCTCAGATTCTGGCAACCATGTGGTTATATCACGTGTTCGCATTTTACATAACTTTGTTCCATGTATGTTTTGACTGTTTGCTGCGTTGTGTCACTTAACGTTTTTATTGAGTTACGCTTTCAAAGTATCATCTGTGTCGTGTAACCGCGAAGACTACTGTGTTAACGGAGGTTATGAATTCTTATCATTCCAAGAGGATATATGAAGTTGGAGTAAGACTAAAAGGCAGCATGATCACATCATGAATTCACTGCAATCTATAGTCATTTAAATATGATCATTTATGAACTATGAGTTTTCAGTCTTATATTTGTAGGGTAGTAGCAACCGGTGATTAAAAGTAGTAGGTAACACTTCTCAGATGTTTTGCAAGTACAACGCATATTTTCTATCCATAATTAGGGGAAAGTGTTATTCGCTCCTTTATTCCCACTTCCCCCCTACTTTGTCTCCCTGTATCATTTCTGTAGTTTACTTTTGACACTGCCTTTTTCTTTTGTTGGTTTGTTACCACACTAGTTTGCCAGGCTAGATCATATTGACTTCAGTTTGTCAAACATTTTCATGTGTATGTATGTATTATTATTATTTGTATTATGAATATGATTATTTGTCCCTTGGGTTCCTAGTGAAACATAGGGCTTCAGTAGCACGTCTTCATTCCACTCTCTTCTCTGCAGTCTTTTCAACCTGGTACCACGACTGCCCATCTCGTCATTTCCCATTTGGATTCCACTCGAGGGCCTCGCCTGACCTGGTCTGGTCTGGTCTGTCGCGTGATGTCCCCAAATGGTCTTCTCAATGTATGTCCAGTCCAGTCCAGTCCAGTCGAATCCAATCCATCCCCATTTTCTTCTGCATATTTGTTGGACGATGGGTTCTTGCCTCGTTGCCTGCCTGCCAGCCAGCCAGAGTTCCTTGTTGCTTATTATTTCTGGCCATCCATCTAATCTTCAGTATTGAGCCAGTGTAGGCAGCTGTTGATGATGTATGTCTGCAGTTCGTTGGAAATGCTTTTCATGACACGCCAAGTTTCTGAAACATCACATAGAAGCACTGACTTCACATTGGTGTTGAAAATCCGGATCTTGTTCACGCTTTGTGCTGAGTGCAGTAGATCTCCACACTGATTTCAAGTTAATGAAGGCCTGTCTTGTTGTCTTTCCGATCATGGTTGGCTTTGACGTCCTCATCTGTGCCGCCACCTGTAGTTGAAACGATGCTGCCCTGCCTTTAGGTAGGTGAAAGAGACAGCTTCCTTTAGGTTTATCCCGTTGATGTGTATGTGTACTAAACTCCAATCAATTTCTGTTGCACTGTGAAGATCAAGTATTCACACTGGGCATTATATGGTTCTATCTGCTTGAAAAGTTCTCGGAAAAAAGTCGAAATGCACTCAGCAACCAGGTCCATGTTTGTACAGTGGGCAGGACCCGGTGGTTGTTGCGGCGTCGAAACCCATGACTTTTTGGCTGAAAATCGAGTGCCTGGATCAGTCAGTCACAGTCTCATTATTTAAGCAGCTAAACTGTAACGTCTGAATAGCGTGTTCAAGTTTTTGGAGAAGCATGAGTTAACTTGAGTTCTCAGTAGACCTAAGTCCATTATTCCTTATTGCTTTCCTGTAACCATGGGACATCAGCTACAGGATACCTTGATGTTGAATGACTTAGCCATGTGACAACATTCAGACGTGACATATTAAACCTAACTTGCATAAAGGATTAGTTCTCAATGCATGACTTTCCAGTAACCGGTAATTGTTGACCAGGGACTTGTGATACGGTCAGTGTGAACTTGAACCGAGCACATCAATTTTGGATTCTCTCTTAGTAATGATGTATAGTGGCTAGCAGTCCCTAGTTAGTTTAACTGGTATAGTATTCTTTGATTTATGTCGGTTTTTACGTTTTTGAACATCGATAAATGTAATGCGTAGAGTTTTAAAGAAGTATATGTAATATTTTGCTTTCTTAGTTGATGCACCCGAAAATCTGCTGGAATCATTCGGCATGAAACCACTCATAAACTCACCAGAATTTATGCCACAAAATAATGATGTCCATCATAAAGCGCCAAGAGTTGACGATAGAAATATCATCGGTTTCCGCACCATCCAGGATGAAGATGAATCATATGAACATCGGCCTACAGCTATTAGAAGAGTTACTTACTTCTTTCGACACATTATGCTTAAACCACTTCTCTTGCCATTTCTTATTGCACTGTTGCTTGTGATACTCTTATTAATGGTGAAGCTGACCATTCATGCTTGTCGTTTACGAGAACATCACAATATAGAGGTAAGCTTTTAAGTTTATAAACGAAAGCCAAACCAGTTCCATGTGAAAATATTTCGATTGGTTTGTTCTGAATTATACCTCTACCAAATAGTTTATAAACTATACATTATCTCTATAGTAACCAGCTAACTAGTTTGATTGGATCAGATAAAGGTTATATGGGAAGGTAGTAAGACTGCCGTTTTATGATATGCATATATATCAAGGAATGAATTGTGAATAATGGTCATCACTTTGACTTCTGTGGAAGTTCTTTTGTTAGACGAAATAAAAGTACTTCAGAGTCACTCATTCGATAACAAAACCAAGGATACATATATATCACCATCGGTCTAGAAAATATACAAATTTAAAGCTTTTAGGAGACAAACATTGATGTTAAGACTTGTATTCGGAAGAAATGGATATCATGTTTGCATGAAGTCAGGTAATACACCATCCCTTTCTTCCTGAAGATAACAAATTTTGTTGGTTTTTGACTTTCTACAAGCGAGATAAAAATGATGTCAAGTATAATACACAGTAAAGTTACTTAGTGGCACCTCAAAGACAGTCAGTCTAGTCAGTTCTTGAGGGAATTTTTTGAAATAACTGAAGATGTTACCAGTGAGTATTGCCTGGTCAGTACTTCAGGTGAACATTCGATTATAATTATATTTATCAACTCATTTACAAGTAACTATCTGAGACCTGACTTACTTTTAATTCATGCATATTTCAAGACTTCTAGATCTGCAAATAAAGTTATGTGAATTCAGTGTTTTGGATTGTTTATTGAACCATGAAATCCTCTGCAGTGGAATTTGAATTTGCTAAAATGTTATTTTGAATACTTGTGATCATTGGTGTATGTCGTCGGAACAGCTAGTGTTTGTATAAAAGTAAACTTATTTCTAGTATGTAGTTATGATATACGGAGTTGTGACCCACTAACGTAGAATAACTAAGTAGTGAAGTCTAACTCACTTTTGTACCTCTGCTCCCACAGCTGTATGGAAATGCGTGCAGTCAGTGTTTTTTTTAAACTTGTCACTGACAGTAGTTAGTGGATATACATGTACTTCAGCACACGGGTTTTTATTAATATTTACGATAAGCGGCGATAATGTGTTTCATTTGTATACATCTGATGCCATTCTTTTTTCCAGTATACTCGTTTGCCGACGTATATTGAAGCGGTGAATGTGAAGGTACCACTATGTGAAGACAGAGTAAAAAGTGAGAAGTGTGAAAAAGCCCCAGTCGATGCCTAATTTCAATGGAATTTATTTCATTGAATTCTCTCTCTGAATAGTTGTGATAATAAAGACATTATTCTGTTACCGCTTCCATAATTACCACGTGCTCACGAACACTTAAACATAAAAGTTATTCGCACGTTTTGACGTTTTTTCTCACATTTTTGTTGTGGAGCTTTGGCCTGTTATCTTATTGCCATAAGACGTGGACTGAGATAGTTTTTTTCTGGGCATTGTTTTGATAAACTTAGTTGTTCCTCACTTTCCGTTCTTCTTGCTACTGTTAACCTTCGCCAGTCATTACAATTCCCTTGCGGCTACGTTGTTCTATGCATTGTGTGCCTAAATAAATTTCTTCTCAAAATATTTTTTTCTAAACATTGAGTTACGATTGTAATTCAGTTTTCCTGTCATTTCGCTATATATTCTGTTGGTATTTGAATGCATCTATGAGATATTTGGAGTACATAAATATGCTATCAGTAGAGTGTGTTTATTAGTAATAGATAAGCATTTATCACAGACGTGGGATGTTTTAGTTTTCACTTATCGTGCGGTCACAGTTTTCTGACAACATCGAACGATAGTTATTAGTAATAACTGTCAGTCAGTTGACTAAATTTATTAAAGGAGTTGCATTAGATATTCTGGAATGTGCACTGAAAAAATCATCACATGCATACGAGCTCATTTGATATTTATCCACCCCAGCTGTGCATTGCAACAACGTAGATATCCAACCACATTCATACGCATAACAAAAAGAGCAGCAGTCCGTTTTGTTCTCTGGTACACTCTCTGAACACTGAATCATAATCAAGAACATCACAGTAGCAGGTATTGCTGCATAACGCTCTAGTTTGCCATCAGCACATCAAGCAATAAGATGAAAAATAAATAAATTAGGAAGAAAGAGGAGTAAGAAAATACCGAATTCGGTATGACTATTAGGATGAAGATAATGTGTGGATATGCCTCCACCATTGAGACCGATTATGAGCCATGTCACCTGGATTCTCCAATCACTGGTTTGTATTGTCACGCGGACCGCAGTCGAGAAGTCTACATCCCCCCATACAACTCAGAGCAACAGTCAAAGACTTCATGAACTGATGCGATGTTTTAGTCTGGCCACTTCTAACCCTTTTCCGGCGTAAATCTACTTCGGCTAATATTGTGCGACGAGGCAGTTGGTGACTAGGCATGCGTAACACATGTCTCAGCCATCTGAGTCAAAGAAGGTCCACAACCTCGTCAACTAACTTTCCTCTTCTCCCTAAAACTCTGCACCTGACTTCTGCATTACTGACGTGGTGATGGCATATGCCACGAAGGCAACGGTGGCCAAATACCTGAAGCCTTCTCAAGTCCTCTACTTGTAATGACCAAGTTTCATAGCCACGTAGTAGAATAGAGCGAACGGAAGCCCAGTGCACTCGATCCTTAATAGACAATCGGATATCATGGCAGTGGCGCCATAAATGACAAAAAGTCAGTCGAGCCTTTTGTATCCGTGTAAAGATTTCGTTGGTCGCTGGCCCAATTTCACAGGTAAATGAGGCGGTCAGAGAGCTCAACCGTTTTACCCTCTATTGTTAGACAAAGCATCATAGTAGACCAATGCTTGGAAGAGCAATTTACATTTGGATGATGAAAAACATTGTCAAGGTGCCCGGAAGACTCTACATTTTGTCAGTCTACACCTGGCAGGATAATGTCATCTGCGTACTCTAGATCTGCCAAAAATTTTCCTACGAAGTCAGACGACTAGAGGGAGAACCTCATAAGAATTGTATCTCTGTTTTTCAGAACCTGCTGGAGTGTGCTCCAGACTTAACTTTGAAGATTTCGATGCTTTGACCCACCGTTAATTCGACCAACAAGCTTCTGTAGTAAAAGCCTTAGAAGCTGGGGCCATGAATGTGAGACACGTGGTTATTCACTTGACCTCACCTGTCCATTACAGTGAACCCACTAATTTCACCCTTCAAGTTTCTGGAGATTCACCGACCAATTCTAGCGGTCTTGAAAGTGTATGTGTAGCACTGAGCACCAAGGCAGAAAATTCTATAATTGACTGGATCTCAGTTGACAGTCGCCTATGCACTGTACGACATGACTGCACAGTGAGGACTACAATAAATGATGAAACTTGCAACTACCTCTTTGTAGTTTCTGATTACGCACCCACTGACTGCGGCTAAGATGAAGTGAAGAATAGGTTCTAGCGAAAACCCTAGTCTCCTGAAAGCTAGACGTTCAGACGTGGTTGTTGTTGCAGATGATTTCACAATTGCGTAGAAATAAGAAAGGCACTTTTGGAATCTTAGCCAAGGCAACGGCAACCGTCTGCTGCAGTTCCGCACGGACTCATCCATTTCTAGCCAAAATGTAGATAGATTGTCTTGCGTGGTATCCACCGAACTCAAGTCAACGGTGGACACAGGTAGACCATATTGCTCTCAGTTATCGCTGGAGAGGGCTGGTGGAAGACTTCCGAAGTACGTGTTTAAACAGTGACCATGAGTTGGTTTAAGCACGTGTATGTCTAGAAAAGCCACTGCAACAAGAGCGTGTCGAATGCAGCTCGATGATGAGAATGTTAGGGCTGCTTTCGGGGAGGAACTGTCTAGACAGTTAGCGGAATAAAGCAACACCACTCATCTAGAAGAAACCTGGCACCATCTTAAATCAGTTTTGAAAACAGCGATAAGGACCGTAGCCGACTCTGAGTGGTTAAAAAGGGCCAGTTGATCTCAGCACCTGAATTAATGGATGCACCCGAAAACATCTACACAACTTCCAAGCATAATGAGCAGCGAATGCAATCAACTAATTCTCTTGCCAATGCTCAAGCTCTCTGCACTTCCAACTTTTTAACCGATTGCTCAGTTTATTGCTATTATGTTGTTTTTACACATGAACTGTATTATTTTTAAAGTTACCATTTTCGCTTTTATCTTTAACTTCACGTCGCCCATTTGCTGTCCATCGCTTAGACTTCCGATCTGTCTGCATCGTTTTGAGTCGCTAAACAGCTGTCCTCCAGTGAGCCATCTAACACAGCTATCCTGAAAGCACACATACCGTTCACGCTCGCTACCTTCGACGTCTGCACGTTAACGCAGATCGAACAACAAACAGGCCTGGCTAGGACTCTGAAAAGCCTCACCATTGATACATACCGCGTACAAAATTCCACTCAAAGGCTTTGAATAAGTTCCCTATCTTTAAGCTCAAAAAGTATGTTTCATGTGGGCTTATCCGGGGACCCAGTGGCATCGGCAACCTGCCTAGCTCGTGCCAGTGTCACACGGAGCGATCAAGCCGAAGCTGCAATACTCAGCTATATTCCCACTAACTGTTGTCTATCTGCTGTTGGGCTAGAAGGTTTATCTGGGATAAAAAGTAATCTGCAAGATGAACGTCTTTTTTTAATCTCTGCCTATGGTCCGACGGACTGCAGCTCGGATGCAATCAAGGATAAATTCTGATATCAGCTGAGTGACCTTCAAAACCAAGTGCGCCCGACAGATATCGTAGTGCTAGCTGGAGACTTGAATGCGTAGGTCGGGCGTCTAGATTCAGAAAAGAGTCGTTCAGGTGGCCAGTGTGGACAAGTTGGCCGCAGGTTGGATAATAGGGATCGTCTTCTGCAGGTTCGCGCAGATTACAACTTATTTCTAACCAGCTCCAACTTTCAGCACAGCTATCGCCGTTGAGCCACTTAATGTCCTCGCTCTGTCACTCAAGCCTGGACTGAAATACATCATATTGCAATCAGCTACCAATGGCACGAGTGCACACAGGACTACGGCTCCATACGGAGTACTTGTCTGAACTCTGATCATGCTTTAGTATCTGCTAACCTCGTCTTGAATTTTGGTGGTCATCAAAATCGTCGTCCTAAACAGTTCGATGCAAGCAGATCGGTTGCACCTAAGATTGTAGCTAAATACCAATCCGAGCTAGATTTAAAGCTAGCTACCGATCCCCAGAAAGTGTAGACGAATATTGGCTGCACTTGCAAGACGCCATGAAAATGGTGAGTAAAGCCACTTGCAGCTTGAAAGAACGCCCTACTAGTAAGCACTGGGTCTCTGTGCGCTTCTTGCAACTTAACGCCCATCCCGATGGATAACGAGTACAATAGTTCGCGTAAGTCTCCTACGCAAAAGATTACACAACGCTTACGCAAGGACAGTGAGGCTTGGCCGTCAGAACGCACGAGTGAGATGGAAGCAGGAGCTGCATCAAGCAATAGTTGGAAGCTGTCCCAGCTCATCTGAGCCACTGGCAGCAAGAAGTCAGGTGTCAGTGAGACGGTCTGTGAGGTAAATGGCGGGCCGATAAACAATCTTGAAAGATGCCTGCAACGGTGAGCGGAGCGCTGCGAAAAGCAGTTTAGCTAACCCACTGCTCCATCATCTTCAGTTTCAGTGTATCGTGTTCCATGGTCAGTTAACGCTGATCCACTTAACGAAGCGGAGGTCCATAGGGTCACAAGGCACCCGACCCAGACAACTTACCCCTGACTCCATTTAACTTTTGAGGATGGAGGAACGACTCTAATCAGGAAACTGACTAGATTGTCCGAAAAAGTATGGTGAACGGAGGTATTCCATCACTCTGGAATGAAGCCATTGTCGTGCTCATCTTTTCGAAAGGTCTACGTAATATATATGACAATCATCGAGGTATTAGTCTATTACCAGTTGTGTCGAAAATATTAGTTGCTATCAAACTTCAGAGACTTTGCAAAACAAGTGAGAAAATGACTCGCGAGGAGCAGACCGGGTTTCGTTCAGGTCGTGGATGCGTTGATCATGTGTTTACCCTCCGCCAGATGCTTGAACATCGTCAAACGTATTTCAGACCAACCATCGTATTTCTTGACATTCGAGCTGCCTTCGATTCGTTGGGCAGAGCTGTACTCGTGAATTGTCTGTTGGAGAGGGGCGTAACTGAGAAATTTCTTAACATCTTGAAAGCCCTATATGATAATAACACCTCAGGTAGAGTGAGGGCACACAACCACATGTCTCCATTGTTTCGAACCAGCAGTGGGGTCGGGCAGGGTTGCCCGATTTCCCCATCACTCTATAACTTTGCCGTCGACGATGTCCCTGAGATAAGTCTGAACGGAGATAAGTCCGTAGAACGGCTTTTCGACCTTGAGTATGAGGACGACATAGTCTTACTGTGCAATAACACACAGGCTACTCAAATCGCACTTAATCAGTTGGGGATTAGTGTCCTTAGGTATGGTATGTGCTTTGCACCATCAAAATGCAAAGTACTTCTGCAAGATCGGCAGGAGCATGTGCCTGCGTTCACCATCTGTGGTTAGCCGTTGAAAG